GATCTCGCGCAACTGACCAATAGCATCGTTGAACTCCAAGTGGTCTTCCACATCGTCATCTCCGTTATCTCTCCTTCCTTTCAGAGGCACGCAGAAAACAAGTGGTTGGCTTCCTTCAACTCCGCCTTCTCGTCGTGAGATGAACAACGTGCTCTTGTCATCTGTGATATTGATGTTGATCACGATCCAGTTCTCCGGAAGGTCCCCCGTCTCTGAGGTCGAAAGTGATTGAACGTCAAGGCGTCGTGAGCGATATTTTTCTCGGATAGAGGTCCAGTAAGCTTGAATCAAAGTACCTTCTCGCAAAGCACTGTCTTCTGCATCATCATCGGACTCTAGATCAACGTTGAATCTTCCAGGGTGTTCTATCTTTGGCCGAGGACGAGGTGTCCCATCAGAGGTGATAAGTGGCCACTGGAGGTCGTCGGACTTCTGAAGTGCGGAAAATTTGTGTTTCAATGGATTCCAACATCTCTCTCCGCAGAGTGATTGCAGTCGAAACATCTGTGAAACCATCAGTATCCCCAATCACGCGTGTCAGAAGCAATCTCACCAAGTAAAGTCGCAGTGACCGCTGAGCCACCATTTCCTGGTCTACCAAGGGAGGTTTGGAAGGCTTTGATCAGTGCGAGAGAGATCGCAGCATCTCGAAGCTTGAGGACGCTACCATTCCGAAGTCAATGACAGGTTTGCTTGGAATAGCTTCTCCGCCTCTTCCAGAGCGTTCAGAACATCCTGAGTAGGTAATGCGAACGCAGCCTTGTGCGTAGTCGACATTCCCATGGGAATAGCGATTGCTACGATGTACTGGTAAGGTTCTGCAACGAACGTGAGAATGAATAACTCACTAGACTCGGTGAGGGAGCTAAGGAACATATCCATTGTAGAGAGTTAGTTTGCCCATGAGAGAGTTCTCATTCGCCTTCGAAATCGATTGGGTCAGATGTGTGCATTGAAAAGAAATCGAGGTTTCTTACCTTCATTCGGGATGAAGATGGCAGGGATAAAAACTTCTCAAGCAAGCCATTGAGGTCTTCATCTGGCTGATTGCGTCGTGACCAGACTGCTTTTGTCAGAGAAAGGTAGCGAAAAATGACCATGAACGTACTTTGCTGGTGAAGAACGGCTAACAGAGTGTCAGGGAGAAGCTTCGTCCCCAAACACCAAAGTCTCAAATTGCTGGAACGCGCCATCAAGCCCCTCCAACATTTTCAATGTCGAAAGATAAAGTTCTTGCGCATTCTCATGCTGAGCGCTTCGCTCATTACGCTCTGCTCGGAGTCGATGAACGATAATAGTGTCAACGCCTGGCAGGTGAGAGAGTAACGCAGCAGCTTTTACCAGTGTTGCATTTGCCTCCTGCAGTTGACCAAGATGAAGCTGAACCTCTGCCTTCCGAGACAACGCACGACTGTGGGAACGTTCAGTGCTTCAGCGAGATCCTGACCCTGCTGTGCAAAGTGCTCAGCTTCCTGGGGAGATCCACGCGTCAAGTACATTTGCGACAACGCGAACAGAGTGGAAAAAAGTCCGTGAGCTGTCCGCCACTCCAAATCATGTCTGAAAGATCGCGGAGGGTATGTCTTGTTCGGCGTAGGCTGTGATTGTGATGGAGCGGATGTTTGTTCAGCCGTAAGGGCTTCTTTCTTACTGTAGTTCGTCAGCAGGCTCGAGATCTTCATGCACTGAGGTGGTAGTACTAGTACTAGTCTGAGTTGAGTTCGCGGCTCAACCGGCCCGCAAGGCACGTGAAAGGCGTGACGCGTCACAATATCTTCTTCATATCCTCAGCCTTTCATCGTCGGAAGAAATTTTTATTATATTCACAATCTAAGCCGTAGTAAGATGCTGATGTTATTGAAGAAGAAATTTTGAATTTCTTCTTCATTTCCTCGCTGATATTATCCCTGAATAATTTATTATTTTATCTCTGATTTATTCTCAATATCTTCTGTGAATAAATAGGCCAATGCCCCCAGTGACATGACTTCTTTCTTCACGTCAACACCCTCAAGTGCGCCACGTAACCACCACCACCACAAACGACCCGGCCGCCCAAGAACTACGACTACCGCCCAAGAAACGAACGCGACAGCCTCACGACTTGACAACCACACACAAAGACGACAACGACCCCGGCAGGCGAGGACGACGGTGACGAGGTCGTGACCAACAAAGCCTGGTAAGCAGTCACCACCCCTCTGTTCTGCCTTCTGACACAAACCAAGTGCTACGTCATTAGATGACGAACAACGACATCGGTCGTTGTTCGTCGTTCGTCGCATTTGTTTCGTCTCGAGGACAACGAAGAACGCCCAAATAACAGAGACGATCACGGATGAAGACGAAGATGTGGGTGGTGTACCACGGACGAAGACAATCGTCCACCAACGACAACGACCGCCACCAACGACAACGACCGCCACCAACGACAACGACCGCCCACCAAGGTCCACGTGCCCCCACTGACGTCCACAGCGCCCACAAACGACCACGACTGCTCAGCACCGACAACGAGCGCCCGCCAATGACAACGAGCGCCCACCAACATCCACGAGTGCCCACCGACGTCCAGAGCGCCCACCAACGTCCACGAGCGCTCACCAACGACAACGAGAACCACCCACGAACGTCCACGAGCACCCACGAAAGACCACGATCACCCACGAACGACCACGACCACCCACAAACGTCCCAAGTGCCCACGAACACCAACAAAGGCGACCCCCTGCCAACGAAAACGACCGCCTGAACGGACGCAAGCAACGACGGGCCCAGGTCAGCTCCCCCTCCTTCCATCACACCCTTGCCCCCTTCCCTCGTCCATCCCCCTTCTCCACTCCCTCCCCCTTTTCCACTCGAACGACCCAACAAGCGAGCCGGGCTACGTCTCAGTCAGCGACGTGGCAACCACGACGGGCGGCGACGATAACGCCGTTGCCGTCGTTGTTTGATTTTTCATCCCTCCATCACACCCTTGCCCCCTTCCCTCGTCCATCCCCCTTCTTCACTCCCTCCCCCTTTTCCACTCCATCCCCCTTCTCCACTCCCTCCCCTTTTCCACTCCCTCCCCCTGTTCCACTCCCTCCCCCTTTTCCACTCCCTCCCCTTCTCCACCCCTCCCCCTCCCCCACTCCCTTCCCCCTGGCTCACTCCTCTTCCCTTACTCCCTTCCCCCCTTCCTTACTTTCCCCCTCCCTCATTGCCTACCAACCCCCATCCCCCCTCCCTCATTGCCAACCACCCACCTCCTTTCCCCCTCTTCCCCCCTTTGCCTACCACCCCTCTTTCATTGCTTACCAGCCCTCTTCCTCACTGCCTACCACCTCCCTCAGTCCCTCTTCCCTTGATTTGAGTTTCAATGTAGTAATGTAAATTTATGTAGTTATATTGAATAAAATGCACTTTTCTCTTCTGGATTCTACAGTAATTTATTCTGGTTCAAGATATAATTGAAAGATATATCCTGGTTCAAGATCTGGTTGAAAGATATATCCCAGATATATCCTGGTAATATATCATGGTTGAGAATGTAGTTGGAAAATGCAAAATATTGGTGAAAAATAATGTATCTTGATTCAGGATATAGTTGATAAATATATCTACTTTTGTCAGGTTAAGAAATGTTTGGCTACCCAAGAAATGTTTGTGAGATGAGGTTTAGAAATGTTTGTTGGGATAGGAAATCTTTATAAAAGGCAAAATACTTTTATCAAGTTAAGAAATGTTTGGCTACCCAAGAAATGTTTGTGAGATATTTCTTTACCAAGTTGAGGAATGTTGGGCTACCCAAGATATCTTGGGAAACATTTCTGATCAAGTCAGAAAGGTTTGGCTGGCTAAAGAAAGTTTCATAAAGATGTTTATCTGGTTCAGGATATTTTCTCCAAGTTAAGAGATGTTTCAGTTCCAAAGAAATATCTGTGAGATATCTCTCATCAAGTTCAAATATGTTTGCCTGGCTAAGAAATGTTTGAGTTCCAAAGAAATATTTGTCAAATATGTTTGCCTGGCTAAGAAAATCTTTATGATATCTTTCAGATATTTTCTACATGTTTGAGTTCTAAAGAAATATTTGTCAGATATCTCTCATCAAGTGCAGATATGTTTGCCAGGCTAGGAAATCTTTATGCTATCTTTGGGATATTTTTAACAAGTTAAGAAATGTTTGAGTTGCAAAGAAATATTTGTGAGATATCTCTCACTCACTCCACATGTTACAATAAGACACCTGCCTACATCTACTAAGAGACTAAGGTAAACTAAAAAGGATACCTTGACAGATCAGTGAATGAAGGTAGCAAATGCATAGCTAAGGGAGGATGGCCTACAGCAGACTGGGTTGGTGTGACGAAAGGTAGAGTGGTGGTGCTAAGAAAAATTATGTAAAGTCTCCGTATTCTGGTGTTCAAACATTTTGACTGTCAAGAACAAGGTGACAGCATCAGTAAGATCCCTGGGTTGACCAGGCCATTGTAAGGGAGGTGGAAGTGGAGTGTGTGAGTTTGAGGGAGGGTACAGGGTTGGATACAGATGGATGCGAGTTGAGTAAGTTGGATGACAACGTGATGTTGAATGGATTTGGGTGAAGAGTTTGTTGGGTGCAAGTGTGTGTGCAATGAACACAATTTCATTCTCCAACTGAGTCTGGGAGGTGAATCTGGGAAGACTTTTTGCGGCTGAGGCGAAAGCAAGCACAAGCTGCGCTGGAGGTGGGTGGGGGAAGACGGCGGCAGTAAGAGAAAATGAAGAGAAGTCGGTTCGGGGCATGATTACTAGAGATGCAAAGGGGAGCACAAGGTTGAAAGGGAGGAAGATTGGAGGTGAGAGGAGATGCGGTCATGGGCCAAGAAAGGTGTGGTGGAGATGGGTAAAAAAGTTGTGTTTGAGTGCCAAAATTTCACCCTAGATTCAGGGTGGTACTGAGCAATTGACTATCAACAAGAGATGAGTGCCTGAGCTTGGAGTCTCTGCCAGAACTGCAACATTGAACCCCTACCACAGGCCGGTTGTTGTTGTTGTTGTTTGCCTGGCTAAGAAATCTTCATAATATCTTTCGGATTTGGTCTACAAGTTAAGACATGTGGGGGGTTTGACTGGGGGGGATGGTAAGATGCACTTGGAGATCTGGGAGCTGAAGTAGAGGCAGAGGTGGAGGAGAGGGTGGTCAAAAAGTGGAATCATATGACAAGACCCAATGGGCAAGGAAGTAGGTAATTGTGTGCATTGAGATATTGAGCAGAGATTGGGACAAGAGAGAAAGATGGTGAGAGAGTGAGTGAACAGGGGTTTGGAGGAGAAACTTAGATGAGTTTTGAGTGGTGAACATGGCAGATAGAAGCAGGGTGTCAGTGAAAACAGACTTAGAGTGGTGAACATGACAGAGAGAAGCGGGGTGTTGGTGAAGACAACCTTAGAGTGGTGAACATGGCAGATAGAAGCAGGGTAATGGTGAGAACAAACTTAGATGAGTTTCGAGGGGGAAAAAAAAGCAATGTACAAAATGATGAGAAAACTGCACCAGAAAAACCAAGTTTTTTTCTTGAAACTGGGACCCCAGATACCCCATGACACTGGTCGGATATGTTTGAGCCATGTGACAAGGCTAAAAGATTTTTCAGCAGTGTGACATGCTTAGAATATATCCAAGTGATGTCACACCACTGAAACATTTCTAGCCACTCTGGCAAACCTCAAACATTTCTGGCCAGTTTGACTTGGCTCAAACATTTCTTACCAGTCTGACACACTTCAAACATTTCTTACCAGTCTGAAACCCTTCAAATATTTCTGACCACTTTCACTTGACTAGGATATTTTGAACACAATTT